TCTCAGTGCTGAATTTATTTGATCCTTGCACTAATCGTTGTGATGCAGGATTGTGGCTCCTAGATTTATTTAGTATCTTTTACATACTCTGTGGCTAACTTGTGAGGGGTGGTATTACTCTTATTTGGAGTTTCCATCCTTTACTAACTGTTTCCGCATTTAAAGGTGTTAATTTTTAGAAACGCCTATTCATCCCCCTCTAGGCGGCATCCTAGGTCCTTTCACCTCTATAGGTTCAAAAGACCTGGCCGACCACTTGGGGTCGGGTGCTTCTTCGGCGACCACCTTCCTGATGGCCGCATGCTCCTTGGAGGTGACGATTGTCGCGGCGTGTTCGCAACACGCTGGAAGGAGGTGCCAATGGTGATGACCCCGCACGGTCCCGGCATCTTCAGCTTTAGATAGGTGTAGTAGGGGACGGCCATGAACTTTGCGTAGCATGGACGTCCCAAGATGGCATGGTAGGTTCTGTGGAACCCCACCACCTCAAAGGTAAGGGTCTCTATCTAGTAATTGGTAGGATCCCCAAAGGTGATGGGCAAATCAATCTGCCCAAGTGGCATGGCCTGCTTTCTAGGCACGATGCTGTGGAAAGGCGCTCCGGTCGGTCGGATGCATGATCGGTCGATGCCCATGGCGTGGAGCATCTAGGCGTACATGATGTTGAGGCCGCTGTCTCCATCCATCAGTAACTTGGTGAGACGCTTCGTGTCGATGATTGGGTCGACCATGAGCGGATATCTCCCCAGTTGTGGGACGCTCTCCGGGTCGTCGGTTCGATCAAAGGTTATGACAGACTCCGACCATCGGAGGAAGGTAGGCGCAGCTGGCTCGACTGTATAGACCTCACGACGTGCAAGCTTCTAGCGGCACTTGGAGTCGCAGGCCGCCGACCCTCCGAAGATCATGAGGCAGCCATCTAGCATCAGAAAGCCGCCGTCCTTCTCCTTGGCGTCGTCTGCGGTTGGCTTGGGGTCCCCCCTATGCTCCCCCTTGTTGGAGCCTCCGAACAAGAATCACTTCATGAGGCCACAGTCCTTGTAGAGATGCTTGATGGGGAAGGCATGGTTTGGGCATGGCCCATCGAGCAGCTTCTCGAAGTGGTTCAGGGTACCCTCGGTGGGCTTCTGACCCCCTTGCGGCCAGCGGCGGCCACGAGCGAGCCCTCATGCTATTGCTTGTTCTTCTTCTTGCTGGGACGGTTGGAGGCGCCTTCGCCAGCGTCCTTGTCCCGCTGCGCCTTGCCCTTGAGGTGGCCGAAGATCGCTCCGACTGCCTCCTCGCCCAAGGCATGGCTGGTGGCAATGTCGAGGAGCTCCTTGGTGGTTCGCGGGCCCTTACATCCCAGCTTATGGACCAGGGAGTCGCAGGTCGTCCTAGACAGGAAAGCTCCTATGACGTCGACGTCGGCGACGTTGGGCAGCTCGTTGCACTGTAGGGAGAAGCACCAAATGTACCCACGAAGGGTTTTCCCAGACTTCTATCGACAACTTTTGAGATCCTAGGGGTTCCTAGGACATGCGTACTTGCCCTAAAAGTTTCCCACGAAGATCTCTTTTACGTCCGCCCAACTTTGGATTCGGTTGGGCGGAAGGTGTTCCAACCATGTTCGCACCGAATCGGCCAGGAACAATGGAAGGTTGCGGATAATGAAATTGTCATTACCTGCTCCACCAGCTTGGCAAGCAAGCCAATAATCCTCAAGCCACAGTCCGGGGTTCGTTTCCCCCAAACTATTTCAGGATGCTGGTTGGCGGTTAGTACCGTGGTGGGAAAACGGCGTTGAGGATGTGTCAGCCAAAGGCCTGAGGTCCCAACAAGTCCGGGCTCGGGCTTCGGTCCTCGCCGCTATCATAGCATCCGCCACGACAAGGGTGGTAGCCGTGGCTAGCCCCCTCCCTCGCATCACCGCAGGCATGCCTGCGGGTAATGAGGGTGTCGCGCATGTCACGATGGCGGCCGAGACGCTCATGCACTAGGACCGCGGTGCACGGCCTGCCACCTTGCGGCACCTGGTGGACTGCCGCGTCCTTGTCGGGTTGTTCGGAGGGCGTGCGCTGGCTATTGTTGAGCTCGCGTCATTGGGACAGCGAGCTCTCGGCCTGCTGCGTCGCCGCACGGTCGAGTAGCGTGCGAATCTCGCGATGGGCCCAACGATCCTCGAGCGTCGTAGGTCCAGGAAGCCCCCAGAGCAAGGCCGCCACAGCAACGATGTTCTGGCTTGCCAGGGCAAATTGTGGGAGCGCTTCATCGTCCTCAATGATCGTTCGGTTGATGTCGTGGGCCATGGCGCGCGTGCGCCCGCCGTCTCTATGGCGCTCGATCTCTCGGTTGAGCTCCGCGCATTCTTGCTCGAGCTAGAGTCATGCTTCCTCGAGCTTTTGGTGCCGGGCCTTCAACTGCTCTACCCGTAGGCGAGGAGGGTCCCCTGCATCCCTCTCGACCTCGTCGTTGAAGTCGTTCATTGGGGTAGTCTCTCCCTCATGGATGCTTTCGACGTGTCCCTCGCTGGTACCTGCCATGAAACATTTATGAGACGGTTGATGGCTCCCCTACTAGAGTCAGAGCTAGAGGGCGACTCCGATTCTCCTGCGAGGAGGTCGTGGAAAGATTCCACGACATATTCGGTCATCCCCATGAACTCGTCGTTCGTGGGGGATGGAGGAGTATGTTGCACCACAAGGTGGCCAACGGTCTCTGTGGCGTTGTAGAGACTGGATGGGAGCGCTATCGGGGCTCTCTAGATGAGGTATTCCGGTGAGAGCGGCTCTCCTCCGACAAGCTACGCCATGATGTTGGCGAACGAGAAACTGAGGTGACGCAGGTCCTCTTGGGACGGTCAGGGTCCCAGGAAGGCGCCGAGCTGGCGCTCTAACTCCCGTAGTCGAAGTCGAGGAGCCGGTCGCTCCCGAGGGCGTGGGCCTCCAGTGCGTGCAGCTGCAGCTCCTCAAGCGTCTTGGCGATTGCGTCGAGGCCGATGGAGTGGAGAGGTTGGACAGCGGCGGGAGCCTGCGCCTACTCTCCCTCCATCGTGACAATGAAGTCCAGGTCCCCGAAGTGCACGTGCGCACCCGGGACCCAGCTGACGCCGTGACTGGCCATCCGAAACCTAAAGTGGACGTCGAGACGCGCAAAATGCCCCTAACTGGTGCGCTAACTGTCAGTGTTTCGAGTTACCACCGACGAGTAAATTTCTAATATTACGCGTCTGGCTCGGATGGTGTGCTTAGAAGACACGAGGTTTATACTGGTTCGGGTAGAATATCCCTACGTTCAGTTCATCGCTGCTGCTCGTGTTACTAGCACTGAAAGTTTGTAGTAGGGGTTACAAACAGGTGAGAGAGGGACAGGTCCCAAGTCTCTAGTCAAAGGAGTCAACGGGTGCCAAGAGCTCAGTTGTTGCTCTTGTGTGTATCCGGATCTGATCGGTTCAGGGTCGGATCGGGATCCCCCTTCATGGAATGCCCAGCTTTCTCTTTTATAGGCCAAGGAAAAGCACAGGTTACAGTGGAGAAAAAAGAGAAGAACGAACGAGAGAGAGGAGTCCTTCAGGATCGCTAGATCATTCTTATCCTTCATGCGGGTCCTGCTGACCCTGTAGATGTCAACAGGGATAGCTCCACGTCGCGGCCCTGTCCGTCACTGGTGCCATGCGCAGGCGTCGTCTGCCGGTCATGGCGTTCCATTCCGTCGCAGCGGACGTCGTAGTGAGCTGACGCGCTTGTCAGTGTCCGTACGAGGGTTTGACAGAACAGCACCGGTACGCCCGACGTTGTTCCTGATGTGAATCCTTAGGTATGGCCCATCATGGCCACGGGTTACATCGTGACGTGCCGGTCTCTTCTTTGGTGTCAGAGTTTTGACCCAGGCCCATACGCTTGGACCTGGAGTGATTGGCGGTGGTACGGGTCTCCGTCAGATGAAACGGAATGCGAACCCAAGGGGTCGGACGAGGCAGAGCCCGCCCCAGAGGTCGGACGAGGCGGAGATCGTGACCTCGGGGTCGGGCGAGGCAGAGATCGCGGCCTTGAGGTCGCGCGAGGCGGAGCCCGCCCCCAGAGGTCGGGCGAGGCGGAGCCCGCGGCTTCGGGGTCAGGCGAGGCGGAGCCCTCCCTCAGAGGTCGGGCGAGGCGGAGCCCGCGCACCTGGGGTCAGTTGAAGCTGTAGTCGCGCTCTTGACTGCTCGGATGAATCAATGTTGATGGTCATTAGCTCCTCATCTTCTGGTGCCATAGTATTGGTCCCTGACAAAACTGTCACAAAAGCATTTCCAAATCATCACATCTACACCTGTATTCTGATCAGGACAGGCCATGCAACTCCCAAACCACAGTCATACGATTTGCCATCTTGCTCCTAAGTTGCAATATTTGTAGGGTGCTTCAGCATATTTTCATCACATTCGCACTGACAGTGCCACAGAAGAAAAACCCATCATCGCGCATCACTCGGCTGCGCGCTACCTCAGCTTCTGGCTGTCAAGAACTGTGACTGACGTGACGACAAAGCAGGCCCATCATGTTAACTGAACAACAGAACACAAACGTCTGTTCTTCTGTGAAATCCCATACTCCTATGTGACGAAGATCGAAGCATTACACTACACAGGCGCGTAGAGAATTCATATCATTTGAAACCAAGGACTCCCAGCTCCCAGATGCAGTGGGCTGCAATGCAATAATAGGCAAATCCATAAATGTCAAAACTACATCCTCGTCCAAAGTATTCCACAAATCAAACCACATTTTAATAAAAAATAATAATTAGGAAATTGGCTCTCTAGTGAATGTACACATGAAAACAGGGGGACTGCTCATAGATACAGGTAAAAATAGCACAACAAACTCACCCGATTAAGCAGTAGCATGCAGGCGCTGGCCAAATCCTCCCCACACGGCCACACCTCATTCATCCGTCAAGACCATGAATGGGAGACATCAGGGATGTGGGAGATGAGGTGCCAGTCCTCCCCTGTTCCTCTCTTGCAGCGCCTCACCAGATCAGGGCAGAAACGAGATCGTCAATTGCTTCAGAGCCGTGAGGTCCTTTATCCCCTCCGGCAAGGATTTGATGCCCGGGCAGCCGTCGATTCTGAGCTCTTGAAGAGAGGTGGTGAGGCGGCAGATGGATTGTGGAAGGCAAGTCAGCCCCCACAAATCATTAATCTCGAGTTTGCGTAGAGAGCAGAGTTCTCCGAGGCAGTCGGGCAACTGGTGAAGTGCTTCGCACAATACTATCTTGAGCAACTGGAGGGATGTGAGTTTTCCCATTGATTGGGGGAGGCTGATCAGGCTACGACAGAATTCGATGGTCAACTCTTGCAGAGACCGGAGTTTCCCTAGCGACTCGGGTAGCATGCGGATATTAGACCAGCCGTCCACTTTCAGGGACCGGAGGGATGTGAGGCTCCACAAGCTCTCAGGCACCTCGGTTTGCACTCCAGAGAAGAAATCAATCTCCAATGACTCGAGTGCCGTCATGTGTTGCAGTAGCTCCCACCCATGCCCAGATCCTAATCCTGTCACTTTCCATAGTTGAAGCTTCTTCAGTTTGTTAAAACTGGGGGACGAAGAAGACCCCTGGCATTGGCCTGGTGACTGCAGCACCTGCTCACTGCCATGCAAGCTCAAGCGCTGCAGCGACGGAGGAAGGTGCGGCATCACCTCCAACTTAGGACAACGATCGATCCCCAACTCTGATAAGCCGCTACCAACTCGGACTTGTCCCAAGTGAGGAGTTAAATTGTAGTTGTAGCAGCCTCCCCCATCTTCTACATCGGGCATGGTCCTCTCTGGTACCATCCACACCTCTCCCAAACGAGGCAGTTCACACATCTCCAACTTCACCAGTGAAGGAAATGGGCCTCCACTTATGCTCTCAAGAGAAGGCATCCTTAGCAGCCAAAGCTCCTCCAAACAAGGTAGCTCGACAAGCCCATCTAGATGCTTCAAGTTCGGCAAATCACATAGCCACATCTCCCTCAAAAATGGGAAGGGAGCAGGGCCCTGTACTCCACCACCAACTTGACTTTGCATCCACCCTGCATATTGCCTACCTGAATACCCATGAATGTCCAGCATTTTAATACCAGGTGGTGGTTCCAGACCATCAAGGACAGCCTGCTCCAACTCAGTGTTTACCTCTTTTGTGTAATCTGCCATCCACTCTAGGCCCAACCTCTGTAAGTTTGTCTTATGTTTCAAGCATACCACGTGTGCATCGTTCGGGTCCATCACATGTGAAATACCTCTGATTGTTAGTTCCTCACCAATCCTAAATACATTTGCAAGCTCTGATATTCCTGCAAACTTTTCTCCCTTACCAACAACAAATAAGCCCAACTTTTGTAGTCGACTGAGCTGTCCAATGCCTACAGGCATTCCTGCCAATTTATAGCAACCTTTTAGGTTCAAAACTTGGAGATTTACCATGTTGCCGATGCCTTCAGGCAGCTCTACCAGCTCATGACAACCCTGAAGGTCCAAACACTCCAGATTTTCCAGTTTTGTCATTCTTGATGATAGCCTCTCAACTTTGCTGTAACTTAGTCTCAACAATCTTAGCATTTTGTTTCTGCCAATGGAATCTGGCAAGCATTTCAGCTCTCTACACAATGATAGGTTCAATGTTCTCAACTTCTGCAACTTACCGATAGAGTCTGGCAACACTGTAAGCTTACTGCAACGGCAAAGATCAATACTTGAAATCATATGACAATCACCAATAGAATCTGGCAAACTCTTTAGCTTTATACAGTCCGACAAGTTTAGTGTTCTTAACATTTTCATCTTACAAATGGATTTGGGTATCTCGACAAGTGAATAGCTGAGTGTTACATGAAGTGCTTGCAGGCTCCAAACATCTGACATAGTCTCAGGAAGTTTTTCACAATCTAGTTCTGAAACGGCAAGATATTTCAGATACTTAACTTGAGATATGGTGTTAGCTCCTTCTGCATTGAGATATCCCACCATAACACTGCGCAAGTGCTTTGCATGCTTCAATGCCATGGCATATATGTAATGTTCATACTTAGGCATATATACAGCACGTGCTTTTCTAAAAAAAAAATTTAGGTGCCATATGTTCTGTCTGTTTAATCAAAGAAAAATATCTATAGCTCTTTGTGGTACTGCTGCTTGCCTCGTTTGGCATGTCAAGTGAAATTTCATCACCAAAGATGGACAAGGCAAGATCATGAACCAAATCATGCATCCCACATGTCACTCTCCCATCTCTTTCATAGACGTTTTGTAGGAAATACACATGCAGAAGAGACTCAAAGTGGTTGTGGCCAACATGCTCCAAGTCCAAGCAATCAACACCATCCTCTACAGCGATCATATCATGAGCAATCCATAGGTCAATCAATTGTTCTTTATCAATCCTATGACCTTTAGGAAACAATGAACATATTTTAAAACACTGCTTGAGATTAAATGGCAGATGGGAATAGCTTAAGCTTAAGCATGCAGCTACTCTATCTTCTTTACCGTCAACATTCAATAAATTTCTCTCTCTCACATCCTGCCACTCTTCTATCCGCTCCTTCCCATGGAGAGCGCCTGCAAGTACTTTAATTGCTAATGGCACCCCACCACATTTGTCCACAATCGCTTTCCCAACCTCTTCAAAATCCCAACCAGTAGGAGGTGTTACCAGGCTTTGTTGGAATAGTTTCCAGCTGTCATCTGGAGACAAGAATGGTAAGTAAAATTGGTTGGTGGATCCCACTATTACCGCAACTTCTCTGTTCCGAGTAGTAAGTAAAATCCTGCTTTTAGGTGCGCCAACCTTTAGACATACCATGAATTCTTCCCACTCATCTCGTGAGTTGGTCCAAACATCATCCAATACAAGAAGAAACCTTTTGCCCTTCAACTTGTCTGAGATAGTTTGGTTCATATAAGGCAAGGCATGGGTTCCTGGATTATTGTCAGAAAAAGCTTCAAACAATTTTTTGATGAGATCATTGACAACAAATTCTTTTGACACATGAACCCATAGTCTAACTTCAAATAAATGCCTCTCTATAATGTTACCATCATTGAAAACCAGTTTAGCCAAGGTAGTCTTCCCTGACCCACCAAGCCCGATGACCGAAACTATCTTAATTTTCTGTTGATCATCATTCTCTTCAAGCATGGATATTATCTCCTGCTTATCTTTATCTCTTCCAACTACTAATGCCTCGTCAACATTAGGCAATGATGTCACCTCCTTTGTTCTCATGTTCGTAAGTCGAACAGGAGGATCCACACTATTTGTTATTGCTAGGTAGTCAGTTCTTTGCTTCACGATTGCAGCAAATCTCTTCTTGATTGCCTTGATCTTGTTGGCTGAGTTGCATTGAAAAACAAATGATTTTGGTATTGTGCACAGGTATTTGGACACAATACCACTGTCACCATTGGAGTCATGTTTTTCAGCCTTTAGCTGGAACTCATCAACAACATCATCAACATCATAAGAAATATCTTTCAACTTTTTCAGCCAAGCAAATGATTGTGTACTTCCAATAGAATTTTCTGCTGTTTTTTCCAGCCTAAAGTTGATCCCCTCAACAAGATCATGGAGCTCCCGGAGATCTTCCTTGACACACACTATAGAGCTGTACTCTTTGATTAGTAGTGGAGCTAATTTGTTGCCCACAACCTTCAAGGTTCCAGATACTAAAGCAGATACGGCAGTAGCTTCTACCCCGGTCATTTTTCTTATAGATTCTCCTGTGCCAGATATTAATTTCCTGCAAAAATGAATTCACAGTGAGCAGCCAAACATGAGGCCAGAATTCAAAAATGAGCTGTACCAAATATGGCTCCACATGCATGATGAAACTACATCATTCCTATTGTGCTTTGATGTGAGTATTAGTTTTTTCTGCTGCATTAATGCATGAACAGTACCAACACCAATGTCAGAGAAGATTTCATTCAAATAATAATCTGATAGAAGTGTACGAAATAGTAGCCGGTATATTTGAGATATCTTACCTGGGTAAACAGGTGCTCAAGTACGCATCCCGCCTTTCGGTCTTCGTGTTGCTGAAGTGCTCCTTTACAAACAATGTAGAATTCCTTCTAACATAACAGTCAGCTCGACATAAGAAGTGTCATCTATGTCCAAAAATTAGAGAGCAAGATATAGGAGAGTACAAGATACAAAGTACATGAACATGAACTATTCAACGATGCCAACATTAACATACCACTACCTCTAGAACTGACAAATAAATAGCAGTCCTTTGCCCAGATTATGATCTATGACTGATGAGTGCTCCAGTATTAAGTACCTTTAGTATACAGATTTATGTGCTGGAAAAAGTACAGGCATCAGGGACGAAATAAACAAATTCTTGACTAGAGCAAGCATGAAAATCAAATAGGATGTATATTATTTATCAGAAATAAACTAAATACCTGGAGCTAAGGGATTTGCTGCTGTTGCTATGCCATCTCCAAATGTGGTCTTCCTTTTTCTCCTCTGCAACGTGCGCACCAGAGTACCAGACCTCCGAATTTGTGTTGCACAGTGCGGGATGGAGCCTAGATCTTGACGGCCAGTGATGAGAGTACTTGGGATCTTCTGGTGGCTTGTGATGCTTCTCAGCGAACTAATCAACTGCTAGAAACAAAGACACAAGGAGTAGCGCAGAAAGCTTAAGGCAGGTATCAGAGATGAAATGAATGGATGTGCACGGAGCAAGAAACAAAATAAAATGGGATGCTACACATACCTGGAGCTCAGGGATCCGCTGCCTTTGCTATGTATACACACAAAAGCTTCCGGGGTTGCCTCTGCTTAATTGTGAGTTGTGGCAGCTTCCTTGTGAAGGTAAGCTATCAACTGCTGCCGACCATGGCCAGTCGTAACAAGGAGATAAGCATGATGGATGGAATCATGGAGAGATCTATATGGCCAAATGGGCTTGAGGACCCAGATGGACCATAGTCACAATAATGTAGAGGACCCACACAACGGAAAGGAGAAATTAGATTTTACCCCTCCGTTTTGGAACAAATCAAAATATCGAACAAAATGTTATGCTTTCAAACCTTGTCAATTTGTCTAAGGATGGGTAAATACAGGCATTTGTGTTAGGAATTGAATACGGCAAAATCAGTGGGACGTGTTATTCTTCAAACTAATATCTTCGTTATCTCTTCTCTCACACACATACACAGCTCAAGGCTATCACATTTAATGGTGCATGAACAATCCAGTAGCTTTTAGTAGTATCAAGCACCTCTTAACTAGCAAAACTCAATTTGCTTTTGACTTGCATCTTTTCAACTCATACTTGCGTCTAGTTTCACTTCTTTGGACTTTGTTAGAAACTTCAAGGATCAACCAGTGTATAGCATCCACTAATCAATTTTTTTTCTCATCTCAAGAAAATAAATTAATTCCAACATTCTCCCCTTAATTTGTTTTCTTGAGATATCTTCTTCTTTTTAGCAATCATTTCTCTCAACAGAATCCCCGTGTGGCAGCGACTGGGGGCGGCGGGTGGCGGCCATCCCTCCAACGTGGTGCATCGCGACCCAACGCCCTAGGCCTGGATCTGTCGTCCTCGTGTGGCGATGGCCGACGCCTCTACCCCTAGCGTGGCGCACCGTGACCCCCCGCGGTCGCTTCACTGAGCCCCATTCTAGGCTTCCTGGGCCTAGATCTGCCGTCCACGTGTGGCGGCCAATGCACCTCCTCCAGCGCAGCGCACCGTGACCCGACACGGTCACGTCCCTGAGCCCCCCTTCTGAGCTTCCCGATCACGGTCCGCCATGCCCGTGTGGCGGCGGCCGGCGCCACTAACCCCAGCGTGGCGCATCGTGACCCGCCACGGTCACAATACTAAGCCCCCTCTTCTAGGCTTCTCGGGCATGGATACTCCACCCTCGTGTGGCCACCGGCACCCCTCCCTCCTGCAGCGCACCAAGAGTCGACGCGGTCATGTCCCCGAGCCCCCTTTCTGAACTTCCCTGAAATGGATCTGCTGTCCTTGTGTGGCGGCGGCTAGCGCCACTGATCCCTCAGCGCGGCGCACCGCGTGCCGACGCCCCAGGCCCGGATCCGTCGTCCCCATGTTGCGGCGGCCGACGCCACTCCCCCTACACAGCGCACCATGACCTGCCGCGGTTGTGTCCGCGAGCCCCGATATTGCCTTCCCCATGTGGCGGCAGCTGGCGCCCCTGCCCCCGGTGCACCCGCCATACCATGCGTGTCGGGGTTCTGGCCAGCCCAACTCTACGCTGGACCAACGATGACGATCGCCCCTCGAGTGGATTTCCTTCTTGAAGTCGTCGCTAAGGAACCTCTTGCGGCCTTCTCTCCTCGGTCAGCCAGGTCAATGTGTAGTTCTCCTCGGCACAAGACTTGGGCAAAAGCCTTGCTAAGCTCCTGCATCGCCTAAGAGCTCATGTGCCTTGGTGGTAATGGTGGTGTTGCTTTTCACTTCTTCGTGATATTTTTGTGTTTGTGCCACCGTTCCTGGGGCAGGGGCATTTGTTGTTGTTGTTTTATTTTCCTTATTAGTGGATATGCCACAACCTCGCCCTTGTGCTAGGGCCGTTGTATGGTTTTAGTCCGCTTTTCGATAATTAACCGGACGAAAGGGTTTTGCCTCGTTCCCCAGAAACGAGGTTGTTGACAATATATCAAAACTATTCAAGTGGGGATTGTCCCCTCGGTGACACTTCAAAAAAATCCACTTATGTCATTATTAGAGAAACTAAAATTTCCCCTTAAATCTACAACTAAATTAAAACATCTATTATTATGAAAAATAATTTAAAACCCATAAATTACATCTATATATAATTCTAAATTACCCGGCAAAGCAGAGATGAATGTATATCATGTACACTTGGCAGAACTTGAGAAGCTTGAGAAAACCCAGAGGTTGTGTCAAAACAAGAGCCCTCAGAGCAGATCAAGTTTTAGTGCCCCTAAGCCAAGGAAGGTAGCGTCCTCCCTTGAGTCGGTCGAATAGAGATAAGAAACATGAAAACCAGTGAACCAAGGTAAGATGAACATACCACAAGTAGAGAAGAATCAATAGGACAGCATCCTTGTAGTTGCCATGATCTATGACTAGGGAGTGTTCGGCCTTCAGTTCAGTACCTAGCTGAGACCAGTTAGAAGAAAGCTCATGTTATTTACCCAAGAAATTACAGGTGCAAGCAGAAAGTATATATAGCAGGCGAAGGAGTACAAGGAAATATATAGGGTGGACGACGATTGAATGATCGAAGAGGTGGCAGAGTAGTAGAGCAAAATACCTGGAGCTCAGATGTGTTGCCGTTGCTTGTGTGTACAGCAAGACGGAAAGTTTGGGCGCCGGCCTTGGTTTGCACAACGCAGGCGCATCAAGGTCTTGTTTAGATCGCAAATTTTTGCAATCTCGGACATCAGAAGCACGTTTCGTTTGTATTTGACAAACTTTGTCCGATCATGGACTAACTAGGCTCAAAAGATTCGTCTCGTGATTTACAACCAAACTGTGTAATTAGTTATTTTTTTTTATCTATATTTAATGATCCATACATGTGTCCAAAAATTGATGTGATGAAGAGAGAGTAAAAAAACTTAGAATTTTGAGGCAATCTAAACAAGGCCCAACTTATTTCCTGACCTCTGAGTCGAGGGCAGGGTTCTGCTTCTGCACTACTAGGTTCTGAAGTATGGGAGGGCAGCAACTGCTAAGGCCGCGTTTAGTTCGGCCACCGAATCGGCGCCGCCGGATTCGGGGCGCACTGTAGCTACTGTAGCGTTTTGTTTTTATTTAGTAATAATTATCCAATTGTTGACTAATTAGGCTCAAAACGTTAAATCTCGTGAAATGTAACCAAACTGTGCAATTAGTTTTTGATTTCGTCAACATATAGTACTCCATGCATGTATCGCAAGTTTAATATGACGGGGAATCTTCTTTTTGCATAGTGCCAAATTCTGGAATTTAGGGCAACTAAACAAGCCCTAAAGCAAGGTGTAGTCGTCTCTAGGAGTACAAGCAAAAGCAGAAAGTAAATTACCCGGCAAAGTGCATCGCATATATAGATTCCCTAAAGCAAAGAGGAACCTTCCGGGAAGCTGCCGCGGAGTTGCGATGCAATGCACGTACCGTGCATGGAGACCAGCGAGCCAAGATTGCACACGCTTTGCTTTGTTGGATGTCAAAGCAAGAATGAAGGTCGCTGCTTTCGGCGATGACGAGATGGCGCACCTACCGTCGAACGGGTTGCGCGCACTGGCCACTGTCGGGTTGCTGTGCCGTCGCCGTTGCCGCTGCATGCTCTCGCCGCCGGGTGGAGTGCTGGGCAAGGCCCGCGGGCACGTCCCTTGCCCGCCGCGTGCGGTTGCGTCACCATGCGCACGCGCAGGCCCAGCGGCAGGGGGGCACGCCGTAGCCAATGGATACGGCCAGGCAGCGGTTCCCTCGCACTCCCATGGCGCTGGAATATTTCCGAGGTGTCCACTGGCAGCTAGTAGCGCAGTGCACACTTTGTGCAAGCCTGCAAAGGTGTGGTATCAGTTTGACAAATGGCAATGCAGCGCACCTACAGCCAAACGAGCCTGGTGGACCAGATTGAAATCATGCAAGGTCAAGCCGAGTAAAACTCAAGATACAAGGCTGAAATCATGCAAGGAAGAAAAACGCATCGTGCATCACTCGTAGTAGTTCCAAATATTAACTGTACAGTAGAACAAAATTCTGAAAACTGAATTTTTCATATGCAAAGGAGATCAAACAAACGCTGCATATTCTGATCAAAACGCTGGGTGTGCCTGACAAAGCAGAGTCGTCCGCTTAATACAACTGAATGCTCCATACCCCGTGGAGAATGAACGGTGCAGTGCAACAATTTACTTTTTACTTCACGGCTCAGGTAAGTAGCAAAGGAAATTTGCAGCCGCTGGCCTGAGTACAGGCAACATGCAAGTAGTGCAGCGTAAGTAACTAAAGCATTTGTTCATTGCAAAGCAGAGCTCGAGGATGCCCCTGTAGGCCGTAGCATTTTGGGCTGCTTACATTGATACATATCATGTACTTCTCTGACCTTTAAGGGTCATCTCTGTGTTAGATCCTCGGCACCCTCCATTCACAGCTTCGCCGGCATCAGTGAAAAATTATTTAGGTGGGGACTTTTCGGCCCCTGGTGACGTCTTAAAAAAAATGGTCCTCCACTGGTATGGGCTACAAGAGCACAAAGACTGAAACGATTTTGTTTACATCATATAGCCTTAAGATCTTCATTTACTTTTTTTCAACCATGCAGGTCTTTCACCTTGACTGAGGCTAACCATGGACTGCCAAGTGCAGTGGACCTGCAATAACAGGAAAGTACTTAAAAGTCAACACTACATCCTCATTCAAATTATTCAAGAAATGAAGCACTGCAAAATTTTCTCTTGTTTTGTAGCATCTGCATCAGCTGCAGAGCCATTACTAAAGCAAACCAATCATAACTACGTGTGGTGCTTACAGATTTGAACTACTTTATATTCTTTTTTTCTAAACATTAAAACTGCTCAATATTCCTTTTCTGAACATGACAACTAGCACACAAATGTGTCATGTGAAGCATTCTCCAGAATAAATTTTATATACAACAGAAGATTGTGACACATTCTCACATCGCATCTGAAGTTAGGACCATCTCTATGCATGTACTAGAAACCAGAGTTCAATTTAGCATAGCCTACTCACACATGCACACGCTATAAGTTATGAACTTTTCGGTGAAGGTACAAGGATGCTTTTGTATGTAAAAAAAAAAAAGACAAAGCCACCTAAGCTCACTAGTAATGCTCAATAATAAGGCTACACAAGCTAAATTATAGAGCGCAAATCACTTAGCTACACAAACTAAGCAATGTGACTAACAAGATTACTCAAACTGAATTAGTCACGCAAGGGAGCTACTTCTATGCTACACAAGCAAGAAGGTAACTAGCAAGCTACACAACCTAACTAATTACAAGAGCAACTACACAAGCATAATGTAAATGAAGTAAATACAAGCTTGTGTAACGAGGATGCAAACCAACAGAAAGACAAGGATTACATGGTGATTTTTATCCTGAGGTTCACATGCTTACCAACACGCTAGTTCCCGTTGAGATAGCTCCAAGGTTGCCGGCGGTCCTCTTGCTAGTGGTGATCCGCAAGTCATACTCTCCCACGTGGAGTGCTTACCACAAGCTCTAGCACTTGACTCGGTCGGACCACTTGTCGCCCTTCGCGTCTCGCTCTACTAGGTGGGGACTTTTTATAACACCCTAAAATTTGAATTTTTAGAAATAGAGCAAAAATGATTTAATTTGGAATTTATGTGCTCATGAAAATATAGGAAATAAAAATTTTCATTAATTTAAATTTTATCATAAGGTAGCAATATGGTTGTGCATACATGCTGCTGCATAGTATTTCTTTTGTATTGTGTGGTTTGAAACTAAACTTCAAATTGCTTCAAATGGATTTGAAAATGCATTTGAGAAACACTTGGGATAAAAAGAAAATGTAATTTCCTTTCCCCTCTCTTTTGGCCCAGTCGGCCTGCTCTCCACCGCGGCCCACGTCAACCGTTTTCCCGCGCCAGCCCAAGCAAGCAGCGCCGGCCCGTTCTCCTCTCCCGCGTGGGACTGCAGCGCCCTGGCCTAGGCCAAGCCACGTAGCCGAGCCATGCAGATCTGCTTTCTTCTCTCTCTATGACTGACGAACCGGCCCCGCCTTCCCTCTCGCTGACTGGTGGGCCCGCCCTGTTAGGTCCGTCTTCCACCTGAGCCGCCCCAACCCGGACCCTGTTCCGAGCCGGACACCGCACAGCCGCCAAGTTCGCCTCCGCTATGCCAGTTGGCGTGCTGCCCACGCCGCCCCGCCCTTAAATAGCGCCCCGTTTCGCATCTACACGCCGCCGCCTCTGCCCTAGCTCCCAGCCGCACGCATGCTCGCTTCGGATCTCGCCGTCGATGCAAAGCTCGCCCGCCGCCGCCGTTGAAGCCTTTGCTTGCTGCCTTTCCGTCGCCTAGAGCCCACTGCCGCGTTTTGCACCAAGGTTTCGAAGCTCCCGAGCCCTTGTCTCCTCTTTCCCTCGCTCTCTGTTGCTCACTTTTTGTCGGCGAACGGTCACAGGGAGTCACCTAGTTGTGATGCAATGCACCTAGACCAGCGAGCCAAGATTGCACACGCTTTGCTTTGTTGGATGTCAAAGCAACAATGAAGGCCGCTGCTTTCGGCGATGACGAGATGGCGCACCTACCGTCGAACGGGTTGCGCGCACTGGCCACTGTCGGGTTGCTGTGCCGTCGCCGTTGCCGCTGCATGCTCTCGCAGCCGGGTGGAGTGCTGCATTCTAAGTTTCAACATGAAGTCGAGAACTCAAACCTAAATGAATGAGCTTCCTCCTACTATTATGTATGTACTTGTTCCGTTATGTTATACTCCTAAAGGTGCTCGCATAGGAGCATGGTGAAATAAACTTTGTGAAGAGGCTAAGGTCGCTGTAATTACCTGATCTTATATACACCAATTAATGCTTAATGCGTATCAATGATAATAATATAATATTAAAAACCAAAGTGATTCTTCTATTCATCTTTTACTTACTAAAATGTTGTCATGCTCTTCGTGTTTCGTATGTGATACAGACACATGACCTATGCTTATATGAGCTAAAATAACTCACGTCCAATGATACTATCGAGTTTCCGCCGATGGAGACGCTACGGTGGCATCAGAGATGAAATGAATGGATGTGCACCGAGCAAGAAACAAAATAAAATGGGATGCTACACATACCTGGAGCTCAGGGATCCGCTGCCTTTGCTATGTATACACACCAAAGCTTCCGGGGTTGCCTCTGCTTATTTGTGAGTTGTGGCAACTTCCTTGTGAAGGTAAGCTATCAACTGCTGCCGACCATGGCCAGTCGTAGCAAGGAGATAAGCATGATGGATGGAATCATGGAGAGATCAATATGGCCAAATGGGCTCGAGCACCCACATGGACCATAGTCACAATAATGTAGAGGACCCACACAACTGAACGGAGAAATTAGATTTTACCCCTCCGTTTTGGAACAAATCAAAATATCGAACAAAATGTTATGCTTTCAAACCTTGTTAATTTGTCAAGGATGGGTAAATACAGGCATTTGTGTTAGGAATTGAATACGGCAAAATCAGTGGGACGTGTTATTCTTCAAACTAATATCTTCATTATCTCTTCTCTCACACACATACACAGCTCAAGGCTATCACATTTCATGGTGCATGAACAATCCAGTAGCTTTTAGTAGTATCAAGCACCTCTTAACTAGCAAAACTCAATTTGCTTTTGACTTGCATCTTTTCAACTCATACTTGCGTCTAGTTTCACTTCTTCGGACTTTGTTAGAAACTTCAAGGATCAACCAGTGTATAGCATCCACTAATCAATTTATTTTTTTCTCATCTCAAGAAAATAAATTAATTCCAACATTCTCCCCTTAATTTGTTTTCTTGAGATATCTTCTTTTTAGCAATCATTTCTCTCAACAGAATCCCCGTGTGGCGGCGGCTGGTGGCGGCCCTCCCTCCAACGTGGTGCATCGCGACCCAACGCCCTGGGCCTGGATCTGTCGTCCTCGTGTGGCGATGGCCGGCGCCTCTACCCCCAGCGTGGCGCACCATGACCCCCCCGCGGTCGCGTCACTGAGCCCCATTCTAGGCTTCGTGGGCCTGGATCTGTCGTCCACGTGTGGCGGCCAACGCACCTCCTCCAGCGCGGCGCACCGTGAGCCGACGCGGTCACGTCCCTGGGCCCCCCTTCTGAGCTTCCCGGTCACGGTCCACCATCCCCGTGTGGCGGCGGCCGGCGCCACTAACCCCAGCGTGGCGCATCGTGACCCGCCACTTCTAGGCTTCTCGGGTTGCGCGCACTGGCTACTGTCGGGTTGCTGTGCCGTCGCCGTTGCCGCTGCCGCTGCATGCTCTTGCCGCCGGGTGGAGTGCTGCATTCAAGTTTCAACATGAAGTCGAGAACTCAAACCTAAATGAACGAGCTTTCTTCTAATATTATGTATATACCTGTTCCGTTATGTTATACTCCTAAAGGTGCTCGCATAGGAGCATGGTGAAATAAACTTTGTGAAGAGGCTAAGGTCGCTGTAATTACCTGATCTTATATACACCAATTAATGCTTAATGCGTATCAATGATAATAATATAATATTAAAAACCAAAGTGATTCTTCTATTCATCTTTTACTTACTAAAGTGCTCTCATGCTCTTCGTGTTTCGTACATGATCCGGACACATGACCTATGCTTATATGAGCTAAAATAACTCACGTCCAATGATACTATCGAGTTTTATTTAAAGACGTATTATGTTCCTTTGTAATTCATGGATACATTTGCTAATTAGTTTTAGAAGAACAAGAAGTTGATACAACGATATTGGTCTAAATGATTATCTGTAAACATGCTACTAATTCAGCTTATTTTTTATTATAAAAACTCTACCTAGCGCCTCTTTATCAAATTGTTCTATTGTACGAGAGTAAATACAATCTAAGTCTCTCTTCTGCGGGGTAAATATTTTTTCTAAATTAGTTTTCTGGTTTAGTTTCCATATTCGGAGGCGTTCCACGTGCAGGCTTGCATACTGCTGTGGACAGTGCCCGGCATGGTCAGGCCGCACGCATTGACCTGCTGGCTCCTGCCGTGCCCACGCCGGCGGACGACGAGTTTCCGCCGATGGAGACGCTACGGTGGCATCCGAGACGAATAGTTTGCTACTCCCCTGTGGCTCCAAGCAGTGGCGTGCAAGATGCAACCAATCAAGCAAGTCGATGCTTGTCCTTTCCCCGTGCGTGCGCGCTCGGGCAGGGAAGGGGGCACCGGGCAGTCGGGCACCACGAGCACGGAGCACGGCAGGCACAGCTGGGCCAGAACACTGCTGACATGATTGGGGCCTCTTTGTATTGTTCGATAACAGACACTCCTAGGCTGTGCGCTGCCTAATCGACAGTTTCAGGCCACCGGATTCATCAATTATTTACATCAGCATCAGCTTGCTTGTAGGGTACGCGTACGCCCAAGCAACTTGGAAACTAGCAACTGTCGAGTTCATGTTCAGAAAGCTGCAATTTTGATGCCACCACATGCATGTGTCTATTTGTCAATATTTCGTTTTAATATGCCTCGACAATGGCTCCAGCTTTCGGTACTTGACTCAGTGGGTTCGAACGGTTCGCTGCATGGTTTCTGGCGGAAATGCCGCAGCAAATTTGATAGAAGAGACAGAAGATATATGGAATCATGATATACCTCTGGTGCAATGTTTCGAAAGAAATAAATAGAAGAATCTTCCAATAAAAATCACTTCAACCATGCCAAGTACGTATTAGCTCTTATGTGCAAAGATGATATCCAGCAATACCAGCTTGCAACGAGACCGATCATCAATGATGAGTAGTTTAATTTCTTTGTTCGAGTCTGTTCGTACCCTGGAAGTTTGAGCCGTCAAACTTGAATAATGGGCCGTAATGGATCGCACAAAAACTGTGACAGCAGCTTACGGGCGTGCCAACTAAAAACGCTCGCATGATGGAATTGAGCCAGGTTCCCCAACGTATACAACAGTAAGATGCGCCCTTTCTGGTGTTTTGTCGGGGAATCTAATCATGTGGCCAGCATGTGATGCCTAGTCAGAAATAATGTGCACATGCCCACTTGGCCGATGTTATAGATAATGACAGAGTAGGTTTTGTTGACGAAGACTTGATGATTTGTTGCATCGTGATGCGCCAGGCATACATAATTTAATTTACAAATAAAGAAGATTGGAGCTCAAAACTTGAGCCACAATAAAAATTGATCCACTTGTTCTTGGACCTTGGAATAAGGCCTGGCGTAGATTAATTTGGAATTCGATTAGGGCACACTGCACAAGAGGAAAGCGGTATCGATCGGATATGCCAACCACCAAAACTTGTATTCAACTGCTATTTGTCTGCCCACTTGCACAACATGATTGAGGTTGTTAAACGTCTTAAGCGTGTTTCGATGACGTGTCACTTTTCTTTGCATTGTTTTGGAAAAGTTGTGATGTGTCCGTTGAGATTAAATTAGGCTAGGTGACTATGAGGCTGGTTATGCTCTTTTGGGATCCTTTTTATTAATTAACATTGTTAAAAGAAGCTAGAGTATGAGATTGTTAAGGACAAGCTCAATGGGAATTTGATAGAGTTTCATGGACATTAAGTATGCTGACATGGCACTGTATTTACGAAGAGAAAGATATAAAAGTTTCATAGAAGTAGGGAGAGTTTCATGTGGATGAAACCCTTCTGCACTGTTTGTAATACATGAGAGTGTTAGAAACTGGAACATAAACTCCCACCGAGACTGACCAAAGTAAAGCAACAATGAAGGCCCGCGGGCACGTTGACGTCCCTCGCCCGCCGCGCGGGGCTGCGTCACCATGCGCACGCGCAGGCCCAGCGGCTGGGCGGCACGCCATAGCCAATGGATACGGCCAGGCAGCGGTTCCCTCGCACTCCCATGGCGCTGGAATATTTCCGAGGTGTCCACTGGCAGCTAGTAGCGCAGTGCACACTTTGTGCAAGCCTGCAAAGGTGTGTTATCAGTTTGACAAATGGCAATGCAGCGCACTACAGCCAAACGAGCCTGGTGGACCAGATTGAAATCATGCAAGGACAAGCCGAGTATAACTCAAGATACAAGGCTGAAATCATGCAAGGTGTCGAGACTTGCGGTCTCAGACAATGTGGAGGAGGTGGAGGCCTCCGCTCGCCAAGCGCTGCCCTCAGGCTGAGGCTCGGGAAACAGACACGACAAGCGGGCGTGTAGGGAAATGGCACGTAAAACTAGGGTTTCATTAATTCATTCACCAACCTCTCGTACTGTTACAAGTGTTCCCTATTTATAGGGCTCAACTACCATTTTTACAGAGTTTACAATAGTACCCTTTAACTGTTACAGTACATTCTCGGAATATCCCACTACTCGTCTTTCTTCTCGGGGGTAATCTTATCTTGCCGCCCTCAGGTACTGGGCCTGCGCGATCAGCCGGTCCATCTGGCCTCAGGATTCGGCGATGGGCCTTTAGGCCTCCGCCATCGGTCTCCGCCCCTGGGACGCCAAGGCCGCAGACCCCCGACGCCCAAGATCTTGTCGTCTCCTGCTTGGGTCTCGCCGCTGAAAGGCGAGAGGCCGAACCGGCGTGCCCGCGCCGTCCACGAGCGCCTTCCTCTGGTTACCTGCAGACACACGTAGATAACGTTGGCACTTGATTAGCCTTGTAGCGGGGCGGCCTCCGCCCCCTCCGGCCGGAGACACCTACGAGCTAACCGGGCGGAGGCTGCGCCAGGGTCACCGGCGGCGTCCCCGCAAGCGATCGAGAAACCGTTATCTTTCGGGTCGAGGCGTGGTAGCCGGGCCTTTGCTTAGGCGATCGGTCGGAGACGTCTCGTGAAGCTGGCTGGCGCAGAGGTCTCCGCCACTCTCGGAGGCCGTGTACAATGATGCCCCCCTTTTTGAGACCACGGTCCGCCCGGCGTGTCGTGAACTCAAAATGCCCTAAGCAAGGACGTCCGGGCGGCGAGAGGCTGCAGCGTAGTCACGTCTCTCGACCGACCCCGCAGGTTTCCCCGCCCGCTTCTGGCGTGGGCGGCTGGTCTTGTCATAGTAGTCGTTAGGGTGCAAAACTAGCCGTTGTCCTACGCTTTGGCCGTTTACGCCGTATTGCTTTCCGTTGTATACCTTGCGACTTCTTCAGAGATGACCGTTGGGCGGCAGGCGAATTGTCCGGAGATGACCGTTGTACGGCGGTAGCCGAACCGCCCACCCGCGTCCTATATAAGGGCGGGGTTGGTTGCGGGGTCCCCCCCCCCCGCACTGCTCATTCGCTTTCCTTGCCTCTGAGAAATCGCTCTCTGCTCTCTTCGGTTTCGCCTGAGCTACCTTCACACGTTCCGTCTTTCCGCTTGCGTCTTCCGCCTGGGCTGCCGCCACGGTGGCTTCCTTTTCCGCCTCCGCCCATACTCGCCGGCCCACCTTCTTCGGACCCTATCGGCACCTTCTTGGCGTTAGGGCCGTCGGCTGGAGTGCGCGCTTTGAGGAGTGCATGCTTGCCTCCGCCTCCGCGTTGGAATTTGAAAAGCTAGTGGAGGAGGATTTGGGGAGTGTCTCCGCGTCTGTCGGAGACCTGATCGCTGCGGATTCTAGAGACATGGCGATAAAGTCATGGGATTTCGGCCCTTCCTCCATTAGTGAAGAGGCGGTCGCGGAGATGTTGAAGGAATCGTATTTTCCTTCTTCGAGGGTAAAAATCCCTCCGCCCGGCCAGACCGTTCCGAAGCCGGAGGAGGGGTATGCGGTGGTGTTTTGGGACTTTTTCACCTGCGGCCTCCGCCTTCCTTACGCCCCCTTCCTCCGCCGGGTGTTGGAGACGTTCAACGTCCAGGTTCACCATCTTACCCCTATGGCCTTCCTTACGCTTAGCAAATTTTGCTGGGCGTGTGTTTCTTACGCTTATCAAATTGCTCTATTGTACGAGAGTAAATACAATCTAAGTCTCTCTTCTGCGGGGTAAATATTTTTTTCTAAATTAGTTTTCTTGTTTAGTTTCCATATTCGGAGGCGTTCCACGTGCAGGCTTGCATACTACTGTGGACAGTGCCCGGCATGGTCAGGCCGCACGCATTGACCTGCTGGCTCCTGCCGTGCCCACGCCGGCAGACGACGAGTTTCCGCCGATGGAGACGCTACGGTGGCATCCGAGACGAATAGTTTGCTACTCCCCTGTGGCTCCAAGCAGTGGCGTGCAAGATGCAACCAATCAAGCAAGTCGATGCATGCATTTTCTCTTGCTCTGATATGATCTCGATCGGATTCATCCGATCGCCCGCCGCCCCGGTCCCACCCGGCACCGGCCACCGGCAGCTCGGCCAGTGCCTGCTTGATGCTTGTCCTTTCCCCGTGCGTGCGCG